GCTTTCATCTAATCCAGTACTGACAGTCCAGGCTAAGAACCTGATGTGAATGGACAGTGTGTCGTATAACTAACCCCTTGGTAAACGTCCAGGTCAAATTGATGCTGTAGGCAGGAGTGCATGGGGATATGTGATGCGGAAATCGTCTTTGCTTGTGGCCTGTATGCAGACAACATTGGCTGCTCTTTTAAAATAAATGAGCTGCCTCTTCTAGCCGGAAGCATCCAGGCTTGCTAATCCTGCTTTTCACAGGTGCAACATGGGCTTTCTCCAGAGCAAGGAGAACGTTGGCAAAGCCTACTGGCCCCTCTGTATTAATTAGCATTAGCATACAACCTCATTTATAATATATAACTAGAAACCCTCATTGGGTCACTTCATTTGCCCATTGAATGAAGCCCCGCCATCCTTTTTCAGACTGACTCACTAGTGAGATTCCTTGCTTGTCAAAGGTCAGGTCTGCGTACTTAGTATAAAAGCTCACCTGTTTACTATGGCTGCTGATCCAGTCCCATCTATAGCTTAACACAACTTACCCTAAGAGTTGGCCGAGGTGGAAATCAAAACCTGTGTTAAACTTGGAAGTGTTTATCTAACTTGCAGATGTTTTCAATTCTGCTCTTTCTTTCCATCTGTTTCAGGTCAGGAACTGTATGTCTAGATGTAATTAATCAAACTTGGACAGCTCTCTACGGTGAGTGTTGGCAGTGTTTCCTTCTGTTTATTTGGTGGGAGTATACTTTATTTGTCTTAATACCTCAGTGCAGTTTGGAGGTGTTCAGTGCTGGGTGTCTCTTGGAAAGCTGGAGCCAAATTGTAGATTGTTCTCTGAACAGCTGCAGAAGTTTGATTATTGTTTGTATGGCAACTTTCATCCCAAAATGCTAAAGTATTCTGTATACATCACACAGGAATTGCCCCAGCCACCTCTGATGTCCTAGGTAGCAGCGCTTCAGCAGCACACGGCAGCATTTTCAGTAGGAATGCCACCCTGTTTCACTTGAAAACCTGGAGCAGGAACCTAAGTAACTGGATTGCAGTTCTACTAACTAAAATTCAGTCAGTGTTGAAGGTGTTCATTGACTGTCAGGACTGTGAAGCAGCTTCTACAGGAAAAGGCACTGGAAACCATTTCCTCTGAGCATCACTGTGAAATGCATGTGCCACTTGCTGCAGAGATGTTTTCCAAGTAGGTCTTTCACCCAGTTCTGGCTGGACATGACCTGCTTATCTTCAAAGGCCATAAGTATCAGCTTGTAGTGATAAGATCCAGGAAAATTTTCAATTCTCATGAGAGTCTGAAGCTATTGAGACCGTAGGCTGTTACTGCAGGCAGCCTTGACAAGATGGAGTTTCCTGACAAAAATACTGACACTTGGTATGGGGTTAATGGGATAGAAACAGTCAAATAAGAGTTCAAGTCTGAACTCTCTCTCTTTCACCAGCAAGCTGTAGCTTGACCTGTTGCCCCCAGTCACTGGATTTCTTGGCTCAGAGATTTGAAACCGATGGCTAAAGTGACAAATTACTTTCATTAGTTAAGCTCAGCTTGGGGTCATCCCCACCCCTTTATAACTTATGTTGTGGAAACAGTGGACATGGGAACTAGAATTGCTCTAGCAACTTATTGAACTTTCCACATAGTCCCAGTCCGCATGTCATAAGTGCTTGTGTTGGGCCTGCACCGTGTCAGGCTTGCACCTTTGAGGCAAATAGAGATCAGGTTAGCTGTAACACAGATGTTTTCACTGAAGGAGGAAGAGGAGACTTTTTTTGCAGTTCTAGGGTGAACAAACCCTTCTCTCACTTCTACAGCGATTGCACCAGACCATTCCCCGCAGCGGACTTTGCCCTGAGAAAATCCAATAGGAGGATAAGCAGTTAGGGCGTTAAGTAAGCAACATGCAGTTTTGTTCAGCAAACTTTAAATGCTGGCCACAGATGACATGTAGGACTAGACAGCTTAGAATTTCTTCACTCTTTATCTGCAGTGCTGATTCTCTGAGAGCCAGCAATCTGCAGTCTGGTTTGTAAGCCATGCACAAATAGTTTCCTGTGTTGAGACATGCTATCGTGCATTGTCACAACAGCGTTTCCACAGTATTTTCAAATGGTGTCATACGAACACTTTTTTGGTAACCTGTTTCCTAACTAATTCTTCTCTATTTCATTGTCAGTGGGGCTCTTACAGGGAGAAAAACAACTGTTTCCTCTTGTGATGTATAAACATCTCAATTTTTGAAAGACTCATGCCTGCTTGGTTTTTGATTTTCCATAAGTAATCCAAGGAATATACGATCAAGATGCCTTGACCGCGTATCCCTTTGAGCAGCAGTAAAGAGATCACTCCACACCAACTGACAACACTTGTCAAACAAAACTGTTTTTAGCCCCAGTCGCAATCATCTTAGTTCAGATTACCCAGGGGGTTTTTTTGTTTTTTGCTGGGGCATGCTTTTTGAGTGCTAACAAAGCAACTCCTGATGTAGCTAGTATGTCCGGATGTAACGGTGACTCCATCAGACCTACCTCTTCTTCTCCCCCACCCCCTTTGATTCAGTCACCAAAACATTCAGATGCTTGGCTTCACCCTGAGGGAATACACAATATTTCCCTCCTCAGCAGCAATGCGCATGTCTGATGCTGAAGTGACAGTCAGTATGAGGATAAAGTCTTTCAACGTAAATCAGTAACACTATTTTGCTATGCGTTTTACCTTCAAACTAAGCTGTTCCTGCACTAGCAGAAAAGACCCAGTGCAAGTCAGATCAACTAAGCTGAAGACAAGGATTTACTCTTATAGTTAAGAGATGGCCTTGTTACATGTTGTACTTCAAGCTGCACAAATTTTGATCAGCTTAGTGCTAGCTTGGAGTTTGGAGCAGTCACACAGTCCAAGCACCCTCTCTGACTTCCTATCTGCACAGCTGTGACTTGCTACTAGAGAAATAGTGAGCAGTAAGGTCCCTTCCAGCACTACCTCTATGATCCTCTAGGCTTCTAGGGCTGTGGTTCACTCCTTACCTCTCCTGCTAGGCAAAGAACACCAACAGCGCCCTGCCCCATGTACCCAGCATGACTGCCGCAGGGTGGGGGGCAGCCTGCTGCGGCAGGGACACACAGAGCTTTCACGAACCTGGTTTGCTCCATAATGAATCCCCAGTGCTGCCTGCTTCAGCTGGGCATCTCGGCCTCCCAGCCAGGCTGAATGTTCCTGATGCTGATCAAGGCTGCCAGCTGAGAGGGGAAACTTCAGCAAAAATAGCCCCCTGCCCTGTCCCTGATCAGAGCAGGTGCACCGGGCATCATGGGGTGTGGAGGTGGACTCGAAAAAGGTTGAGAGAGGTTGGATCGGCAGTCGTGTCTGTGTCTGTTGGATGAACTCTCATTAGCTGCAGTCTCCAGCTAGGAGAAGGCTGGATCAGCACTGAGGGAAGAGGAGGAAATAAAGGGCTGTGGAGTATGCCGGGCAGATACGAGCTTTTATGGGAGCTGGGTATGGTAGGGCCATGGGAAGTCTGGCAGACAAAATACGAAGCACCGCAGTCATCTTTCAGCTGGTGTCAAGAGGGACCCGCAGGGATGAAGATGGTGGTAGGGGAAGAGAGAGGGATCAGCCCTGCCATGCAACACCCATGCAGTGGTGAGCTGATTGGGGAGGAGTGGGGTATCCACAGAATAGGAGGGTGGAGAAGGGCTGTGCATCCTGGGTTACTGGAGGACTTCACCCAGGGTGGCACATTGGTGGGGAATGGCCACACATTAGTGAAACAGGAGGTGGGTTGTGTGGATCGGAGACAGCCCTGCCCTGGAGTGGCATAACTGTGAGCTGCATAATGAGTGCTTGAAGCCACTTACACATGTTAATGTGTGGACAGTCCAGGGGTTAAGAGCTCCAGGAACTGCCTAACAGTAATGTGTAACAAGACTCTGATAAGGCTCCAACCTTACTTGGCCTTGGGGCACCAAGTGTACATGGATGAATTGTTTTCTTTTCACATCCAATTAGTGCAAAATGGAGCATTAGTTTACTTGGGTGTTAGAAAGAAGCCGTCCCTTTAAAGGGGAAAGCGGTAATCCTAAGGTATTTTCCATGAGGCATGACTAACCTTTCCTTAGGGCTGGTCTGTTCTCTAGCTAACTATACTCCCAATTTCCACTTGGTTTTCAACTGGGAAGGATTTAATACTTCAGCACTTTCCAATAGGAAAACTAGAAGCTGGACTTTAGGTTAAAAAAATAAATCTGTTCCTGCTAGGAAATCCACTTGTTGCTGAGAATACCTCAAGTACTAGAGTACAGGGGGACCAACGATTTCTAAAGGAGTTTTTGAAAACACCCTCGCTGTAACTCATGCCATACTATTTTTCTGCTCCCTTTTCAGAGTAGAACTATGCTTCAACCAGCTGGTACACATCCCAGGAGTTGCTGATGTGGGCACCTGGCAGTGTTTTATATATATACATGTCAGCCATGGCAGACTTAGCCCAGAGACGTAGTATTCTTCTGCACTGTGCCCTTCCTCCCCCTAGTCTCTACTGTGGAAGTACAGTGGCTTTGCTGCTTAGTGAAAACCTTCAGTTAACGCATAACTGACTCTTGGAGCTTAGCGGCAAATACCAAGAGGCTGGTCTGTGCCCAGAGCTGCCCAGGTTTACTGAAAAAATGTGATGCGGCTTGCTTTAAAACGATGCAGCTCCTGTCTGTAGAGAGGTACTGCTTTCCATCCCTGCTGTACAGGGCTCATATTGAACAGTGACTCGGTTAGTTGGAGTTTGTATACGTGCCGGATGTGTTAATTCAGGAAGGAAGAATCGACTAAAATGGTGAAGTCCTTTTGCTTGGTCCCGCTTGTCCAAGGCAGACCATTCCCAGCTTGATTTTACAGGAGCTTGGCCTGGTTGGTCAACAGTACATTAGCTTTTAACATTATGCTTCTCCCAGGGGTCATAGATAATGTTAGTAATAGGAAAATAAGGTGCAGCATAATATCATTTTGATCAATTGTGTTATACTTGGGTGGAGGGAAAGCTTTAGAAGACCCAGGTCAAGTCCTAACCCTCCCCCCACTGGAATCTGTTGGGCTGGTGCAGGTTAGGATATCACAACACCTCTGCTCTCCCCCCTGCCCACTTCAAACATTGCCTCACTCAGCAATGGTAGGAGACAGATTTTTGTCACTCCTTGTGCTGTGGCTACTCCAAAAGGATTTCCTTGCCATCAGGAGGGAAAGTACAAGCCTGTCTATAGTTGCAGGGAAAAGAAGGATGTAGATATAATGCATGTAATGAATACTTAAGGGTGAACTTCCTTTTGAAAAGGTTTGTGTGCATCTACTACACTCCGACAGTAAAATGACCCTCCAAATTACACGTTGGGGACGTAGGGTTCACCTTGTGGGTGGCCACAGCCCTTCTTGAGCGTGTCATCTTGACACCCCTGCCTCTGGAGTATGGTGCCTGTCTCTCACAGAGGTGGGGTGTGGGGGAAGGGTTTTACGAGTTCATAGTTGCTCATCCGCATCAGAAACTTGTTTCCTTTATTAGTGATACATGCCAACTGGCATCAAAGTATTAATACAATCTGTTCAGGTCAGTACTGTTTTGAAATGGAGGGTGAACTGGTTGGTTGCTCTTTCCATGAGGCTTGAAAATGTTTGAAAATTGTATTGTGCCAAGATGCGTCACCGTAAAGTCATGGACTGTGAGACCGTATTTGAAAGCAGTGATGTAACAGGAGGAAGCATGGAAAAATATAACGTAAACCAGTGAGAATGAAGCTGTATCCAGGGCTAGGCACTGGATTTAATGGATGTCCGTCCTGTAGTGTCTTGAATAAATTGCTTAGGTCAGTGGTTCCCAACCTTTTTAGCCTCCAGGCCCCTTCATTAACTTCTGAATTTCACAGCACCTTAGTTGAGAAGCTTTGAGCTACAGTCCAAATTCAGAAGAGTTATGGAGGGGTTCTTGAGGCTAAAAAAGGTTGAGAGCTACTAATCTAGCCAGTGCTAAGTGGGGGCAGGCTCCTGCCACTGTCTGTCCCTCTCCCTGACACCGATCTGTACCTGAGGGGCTTCCTTCCTTCACCAGGGGTTGGCAGGGAGGGCAGTAGCTGCAGCAGTTGCTGGAAGAGCAGCCACAGATGCCGCTGGGATGGGTGCAAGGCATCAGGTGGGGAGAGGAGATTGTTTACCTCCTCATGCAGGGGTTGGGTGCCACAGCACCCTTAAAAGGGTTTTGCAGCACCCTGGTTGAGAGTTGTGGGCTTAACCTCTTGCTCAGTTTCCTCATCAAAACATGCGACAGGTTCGTGGAGCTGCTGAGGGAGAACTCCTTAACATTTGCAAAGTATTTTGAATAAGGTTTACTTTGTAATCCCTTCTGTACCTGTAATGTTGGGAATGCCTTATCAAACTCGTACATGTTTTCTTCTTCAGCACCGTTAAAACAGGCCAGCGTTCCCTTGCCGTTCAGTCTTGGTACCTGACAGCAACCATCAGCCTAGTTCCACTGATGGGCCACGTATCGAGAGTGACTTGCTGGTCTGTGGGTCTGAGATTTCTCGCTGCAACGTGAACCTCTGTTCTGATTTGCAGATCTCACCAATATATTTGAATCGTTCCTGCCCCAGTTGCTGGCCTATCCTAACCCTATAGATCCTCTAAATGGTGACGCCGCAGCCATGTATCTTCACCGACCAGAAGAGTACAAACAGAAAATTAAAGGTAAGGAGCAAACAGGATGCTGAAAAGTTGATCCTGTCACGATGATTCCAACTCTGCTTGGATGAAAATTTGTCCTTTAAACTCTCTAGTTGTAACCTGCTCTTGCTCTATAATAAACCAATTTAATTTTAGCCTGGGGGAGTCCTCTGGGTGGAATGGATGGAACTGACATTGGTTGCAAATGAAAGCTGGGCTGCTGCGTACCCTACAGGGAACAGTTCTGCTCCAGCAGACTGCTGGGCAGGATGTCTTAACAAACTCCCAAAAGTTAAGATCACTGAGCTCACACATGGAGTATTCCCAACTGGTACTTTTTAAATTCTTAACCTACCTTTCTCTGAGGTAACTTTCAAGTGTAGCTATGCCCAAAGGGGTTGCTGTTTCCAAAAATCCCGAAACTTTAAAGCAGACTCTTCAGTGTGGAAGGTCAGGGAGGCTTTGTGGATAAAGCACTAGACTCCCTCTAGCAGGCTTTGTGAACTTGCTTGCAGCTTAACTGTGTCAGCTGCCCCTCCATGAAAAATGGGCCAAATACTTTTCAAGTAGGGTCTGGTGAAGTTTAATTTCCGTTCATCAGTTCCACCGACATCTCAGCTTGCAGGTGCTACGAAAAGCCAGCTAGTAAGTCCTTTGTACCTTGCATCCAGTCTAACCCTTCCTCACAAGTTCTTAAACCTGTTGTGTGCTGATGCTAGAGCAATGAGTACAAATAATCAAAGAATCAAACCACATCCAAGAGCTTGATCCTTCTTAGAAGTAACTCATTGGTACAAATATGGGAAGTGCCTTGTTGAGCAGACCCTGCATCTGTTGAGTTCAATATCTTGCCACCAGCATTGGCGGAGAAAGGTTGAAGAGCCCTGCAGAAAGCAGATATGGAAAAACCTGGCCTCACAAATGCTTCATTCCATATCTCAAATCTAATGCAGTAAACTGTGAAGAACGTGGTCCAGAATACTTTCCAGTATGTGCAGGTGGCCATTTTACCAGTCTTTACAAGAATCCCATCTCCACTTGGACTACCCAGCCTCTATTAGTTTGCTATGACTGACATAAGATACAGCTAAGTGTTGCCATGCTTCATGTTGATAGGATTTGAAAATAGCCTTAGATATGTCAGAATTGATGCAGTGGATTGTAACATCTGCTCTAGCTGAGGAAAATAAATTATGTAGTTACAGTTCTTAATTCCCTCTTTCCTTTCCATCCTCATTTTTTAGTTATGAAAGCAGAAAGTACCTGCTTGATGTCTCACTCGAGGAGAAGTAGGATCAGGTCTGCGAGTAAAACATGGCATATGGTTTTGAAGTGACAGATCCTTACAAAAAGTACCTGTCCTTGCAGGATGTTAATGGAGCCCTTGTCCCCTTGCTTTTATAGAGTGTTTTGGGCATCCTACATGGTGCTTGTTTTTTGAGCACTTATTCCTGAAGTTTCTAAGAGCAGCAAGGACAGGCCCTTGTCTAGGATGATTTAGCCAGGAATGATCCTGCTGTGAGCTGGGGAGTGGAGTAGAGTAGATGTGGCCTCCTGAGGTCCCTCCCAGCCCTACTATTCTGTGATTCTAGGATTTATGGTAAGACCCTTAGTTAACTATTGCTGCTGCTTTTTGTATTGAGGTGGGAAGCTGATTATCATTAGCACTTCAGCCTGCATGGCACAAACTATGGTCACAGAGGCAAGGGAACCTTTTGCAGTTTCCATCCTTCCTTGACTGCCTAGGGCAGATCTCACGCGTCTGTCGCTGGGGCCTTGTCCACGCCGTAAGCCAACTAGAGCAGCCACCCAGCTGTCACTGGGCTACTCCCAGCAAGCTGCCCCTTAAACCAAAAGCTGTCTTGCCACCTCCATGCACCGCTTCAGATGGGCTAATTGGCAGTGTGGAGTAATGGTACCAGTTGGCCTGCCCCCAAGCTAATTAGGCTGCTCGTGGCACTATGAGGATGCGGCTACATTACTTCCATGTTAGAAAGCAACTTGCCCCACGTAGCATGGCATGAATGAGAGTGCTGCTGGCTGGGGTGTTAAGTTATCTGGATAGACATAGCTTAAGATAGGAAACGGGAGATTTTTCAAAGATGGAAGGAACAGTTAAGGACTCAGATGCTACAAAAGGATCCACTACAGAAAGGATGTGGACAAGTTGGAGAGAGTCAGCGAAGGGCAACAAAACTGCTTTGGGGACTGGCGCAAATGACTGGTGAGGAGAGGCTGAGGGAGCTGGGATGTTTAGTCTGCAAAAAAGACTGAGGGGGATTGAATAGCAGCCTTCAACTCCCTGCTGGGGGGTTGGAAAGAGGATGGAGCTGGACTGGTCTCAGTGGGGGCAGATGACAGGACAAGGAGCAATGGGCTCATGTTGCAGCAAGGGAATTTGAGGTTGGATATTGGGAAAAACGCTCATTAAGAGGGTGGTAAAGCCCTGGAACAGGCTCCCCAGAGACATGGTGGACTCTCCATCCTTAGAGGTTTTTAAGGCCCAGGTAGACAAAGGCCTGGCTGGGATGATGTAGCTGGGGCTCTACCTGCTTGGAGCAGGGGCTGGACTAGATGTGACCTCCTGAGGTCCCTGCCAACCCTAATTCTCTATGTTCCTATGGCAATGCTTCTCAACCAGGGGGGCCACGGCATCCTGGGGTGCCTTGAGATCCTTTTAATGGTATCTGGGGTGCCAGGCAGTGTTAGCACCGTTAGGTGTGCAGATGCGATTCACAAGATAAACCCAGAGATTTTAAATAGAAATCCAGTGTTAAAAAAACTTTCTGACCCCTTGTGTTCTTTGACGCAGAAGAACTGCTCTGTTGTTTTTCCACGGTCAAAAAATGAATGAAAGCTCAGAGCTTGTATTTTCTGAGGAGTCCTTCAAGTCTAAAAAATTTGAGAACCACTGTACTCTGGCCCTTTAATTCCCATTTGCACCTTTTGAACAAAAATTCTTACAAAAAAACAGAAGAATCAGGGCTGAGACATAATTTAGGCAGGTTTTTTTGTAAATAGGTGAAGTACCCCAGAGCTGCAAATGGGGTGCAGATGTAGCTTTCCATACGCCTTCAGGAGCTGACGTGTCCAAAGCAAGGCTGGTTCTCTCTTAGTGCGAAACCTTCATTTCCAGTCTGCCTTATGACGCATTGCAGCCGCCTTCCTGGGAGGACAGCGTGACACTTTGCATCCATAGAACCAGCACAACAGGCATTTCAGGTGTCACCTTTCCTTTTTAATGGGCTGAAAAAGTAAAAAGTAGATCCTCCAGTACATCACAAGTTTAATCCAAGAAAGGCTCATTGTTTACGCACGAATGTTCCCGGGAAGTCTCAAATTTCCTTAAAAAACTAGAAGAAGTCCAGCCCAATGGCTTGGCAGCCATGCCCGGTTTTTTTCCCCTCCCCCCTTTGTGGTTTAGGGAATAAGAGCCAAGATTTGTGTTTAAACGCAACTCTTAGTATTTCATCGTGGCTCATTTGAATCCAGATACGTCCCTTTTCAGCCGAACATCAGCTTTCGATCCGTGGCTTTTGGATCACAAGTGAGCCGTGAAGAAATGGGTCTTTGCATGATGCTAGCTCCTGTCCTTGTCTTTTCCGATGAGTGGCATTCAGCTAGTACTGTATTTGATACTTTCCAGTCCTGCTCAGGGTGGATTTGATTTTAAATCACGATTTAAATCACTGGCAGCCAGGAAGCCTCAATTTAATCCTTCTTTTCTAAAAAAAAGTGCATTCTTGTTTGATATCCTTTATTCATTTAACTTCTTGAAACTGCACTTTTAGAGAAAGGTAAGGGTTTGACTCCCTACACAAACTTAAAGAGAGACAATAGGGCTGATGGGTGGGTAATTAGGTCTGTTATCTCTCTTCCCCATATACTGCTGTTAACAAGGATGTTTTATCTCTGGAGATGCACATCCACAGTTTGAGAACTGAAACTAAGCATCACAGACAGGCTTAATGGGATCTTCTAGACTGAGTCCCACTGGGTAGAGTGGTTTTCTTTAATCTTTACTAATCTATAGAGGAGCCTCTGGGAATCCTGCAGTCGGACCTAGACAGGTTAGGGGGGTGGGCAGATGAGAATAGGATGGGATTCAACACTGACAAGTGCAAAGTGCTGCACCTGGGGAGGAACAACCAGCACCATACCGACAGGCTGGGGAACTCCCTTCTCATCAGTGCAGAGGCAGAAAAGGATCTTAGAGTCATCATTGA